TTTTACTTTTACTCCCTACATTTTCACATAATTATCTGTACTTTGTACTCCTTACATTTTAAAAATGCAAGAAGTATTTAATTTCTATTTCACTTCGGCTTGTTTTCTTCTGACTCAAAAAAAACAAAAAAAACAACTTACCTAGTTTAGTTGCACCTCCTGGATAGAGTGAATTTAATCATGGTTAGATAGGAAGTATAAATACTGTATACCATTCTGACACATTATTGGTTTGTACGATCCATCACACCTACAGCGGGTAAAATAAGTATTGAACACGTCAACATTTTTCTCAGTAAATATATTACTAGAGGTGCTAATGACATGAAATTTTCACCAGATGTCAGTAACAAACCAAGTGATCCATACATACAAAGAAATCAAACCATAAATGTCCAGAAATGAAGTTATTTGTAATAATGTGGAATGGCAAAAGGAAAAAGTATTGAACACATGAAGAAAGGGAGGTGTAAGGCATGGAAAGCCAAGACACCAGCTGAACTCTCTCAGTAATTAGAAAGCAAGCCTGCCCCTTGTCAGTGCAAATTAATATCAGCTGGTTCAGTCCCAAATGATGGCCAGGTATCACACAAGAACCATCTGATGATGGGTAAAAGTAAAGAGCTCTCTCAAGACCTTCACAACCTTATTGTTGCAAAGCATAATGATGGCATCGGTTACAGAAGAATGTCTAAACTTCTGAAGGTTCCAGTGAGCACTGTTGGGGCCATAATTCAGAAGTGGAAAGAACATTATTTCACCATAAACCGACCACGACCAGGTGCTCCTCACAAGATTTCTGACAGAGGAGTGAAAAGAATTATCAGAAGAGTTGTCCAAGAGCCAAGGACCACTTGTGGAGAGCTTCAGAAAGACCTGGAATTAGCAGGTACGTTTGTTTCAAAGAAAACAATAAGTAATGCACTGAACCACCATGGCCTGTATGCACGCTCACCACGCAAGACTCCACTGCTGAAGAAACAGCATGTTGAAGCTCCTTTAAAGTTTGCTGCACAACACTTAAACAAGCCTGTGAAATACTGGGAGAATATAGTCTGGTCAGATGAGACCAACATTGAACTGTTTGGATGCCAGAATACACATCATGTTTGGAGGTCAAATGGCACTGCACATCAGCCCAAAAACACCATACCAACAGTGAAGTTTGGAGGTGGGAACATCATGGTGTGGGGCTGTTTTTCAGCATATGGTACTGGCAAACTTCAAATAATAGAAGGAAGGATGAATTGAAAAATGTACAGAGACATTATTGATAAAAAAAATCTGCTTCCATCTACCAGGATGATGAAGATGAAACGTGGCTGGACATTTCAGCAAGACAATGAGCCCAAACACAAAGTCAAGGAAACTCTCAGTTGGTTTCAGAGAAAGAAACTAAAGCTGCTGGAATGGCCCAGCCAATCACCTGACCTGAATCCAACAGAAAATCTATGGAAAGAACTAAAGATCAGAGTTCATAGAAGAGGTCCACGAAACCTTCAAGATTTGAAGACTGTTTGTGGAAGAATGGGCCAAAATCACACCTGAGCAATGCATGCGTCTTTAAGCTGTCATTGACAACAAAGGCTTTTGTACAAAGTATTAGATAAATTTCAGTAAGTGTGTTCAATACTTTTTCCCTGTGCCATTCCACATTATTACAAATAACTTCATTTCTGGACATTTATGGTTTGATTTCTTTGTATGTATGGATCACTTGGGTTGTTACCAACATCTGGTGAAAATTTCATGTCATTAGMACCTCTAGTAATATATTTACTGAGAAAAATGTTGACGTGTTCAATACTTATTTTACCYRCTGTATATGAATGACACAAATTATGTCACACGTCTGCTATGTCCAGCTGCATGTAGCCTATTATGAAGATGACCATGACAGAAATATACATACTGCATATACTGTATRTTTGCAACTGAAACAGGTTGTCTGCTGCATCCCACATTTTTCCAACATTAACAAGAATATAGTAATTATGGTCTTTAGAACAATGTTTTTTTTTTGGGGTGGGGGGGTTGGGGTTGTGCTCTGCAGGCCCTTGTGGAGCTGCTTATAAGCTTTTGTCCTTAATGGCTTTTTTTTCTATACATTAATTATACTTTAAGTACTTTTACATTTTTATTTGAGTAAAATGTACGAGTTGATACTTCAAGTTCTATAGAAGTTTTTAAACTCTGAACGTTTGAGAGTCATTCCTAAACACTTACTGATCAGAAGATTGGTTTTTAAAACTTTGCCATTAACATTACAGTCAACTGTGTCYGTTAGTAAAATATTCCATAAACCACTGGATGGTTTTTTATGAAACTGAACTATAATTTCATGTTGTAGATATTAAGCTTTATCACCAAAAAAAGTTCTAGCACTGCACATTGCATTATCTTTGTGCTTAAAACTTGAACATTAAATGTTGGTATGAAACCTGTCTGTTAGCAACATATCATAAACAACTGAATAAAAATCTCAGAAAGTGATCACTGGATTCACATACACAACTGATGGATTTTTGGCATCACTAATTTATGATGGCTGCCACAGCTAGACAACACAAAAATGGCTATAACCTAACTAGTTTTAAATGTATTAAGCTAAACTTTGGTGTGATAGTAGATGAGAGTCCTTCACAACAATATTCTAAACTATAGACATTTTTCAACATTTGTGGCTTTAACTGTTCAAGTCAACTCTGTCGATGTGTTAGCAAAATATCTCATGAAGGACTGGACAGATTTGAGTCAAATTCTCAGAACGTAACCATTGGCTCTACATGTAAAACTCATTAACATTTAAAATCAACCATATTCAATATGGCCGCCACCCCTAATTAACCTCACCCAACCCAAATGGCTTTAACTTGTTACAGACATTGAGATAGAATTCGGTGTGGTACTAGCTCAACATATTCTTCGAGTTCTATCACATTTTGCACAATCTAAGTTATTGCTTGAGATCACACATCACCTCATTTACAAGGTTTGACTAAACCAGAAATATTTAAATCTCTTTTCTGAACAATATGAAAGCTGGCAGACCTTTCATTTTCACAAAGCATTGCTCACCTGTTTATCACATCATCACACTTTCAGCTAGATTACCAATTTGCTACRTAAATGACCAAAAACTTCGTGCCCACTTTTTGAGGAGGGTTCTTTAACCACTGTATCCTCTTAAGGTATGCTGGACAATGAGGCAGTGGAGAAATTGCCCCACTAATTATCCACTTGTCTATATTCAGCCGCATACTCTTGCATTATTCACATCATTCAATTTACACTGCCACCCGTGTGTGTCATTGCAATGAGCTGCAGTTAGCAAGCCCTGTTATTATTACAGGAGCTGTCCTCCTCTTTCAAACTGCTGTCTCTCCTGCCATGACAAAACTAACTCGTCTAATAGGAAAAGTTTCCTCCAAATGTCAGTGAGTTTTAAATCTCTCCTAAACATGTTTGCATGTTTCTGCATTTAAAAAAACACAGATAGGAATGAAAGGCCTAGCATCCCTGAAAGAACTGCATAAAGCCTGTCACTTTGCATTAAGAGTTGGACAAAATCTTATTGTGTGCAATTAATCATCCAGAAAACTGACTCTGATAAATATTTGGCACTTTGCAATAACTGGGTTAAATGTCATGTGATGATATGTGTGACATGCTGTGCACATGTGGTAGAATGGCGATATGCAGCACGGAGATAATGCTAACACAGAGCTACTTTGAATTTGCTTAATCACCTGAGAAACATCACCATAAACGGAGCACGAGGAAAGCCAGAAAATGTGGATCGAGGCGACATCAGCTACAACAAACTCTCCTCCAGCGAATGTCGGAATACAATCTACTCAGTTGAGAATCTGTGATGCAGTCAGTCGATTTGTCCCTTACGAGCAGCAAAGTAAGTGCTGGAAGGAGGTAACACGAGTATGATTTTTAAAATGAAGAAGTTYGTTTGACTGATGATTTGTAAGTATAATTTTAGAACACAGGAACTGATTTAAAGTCTGAAACAAGTGCAACTGTAATCTATTAATTCTCATTTTAATCTTTATTGGCTAAATGCCACAATTATTTTTTTGTAAATATTGCCCAACATTGTAGAAATCTAAAAATAAGGTGTGCTAACTATTGAAAGCCTCTCAACTTTCAGCCATTTAATCTACTTTTCTGACTGTATTTGAACTTATTATATCACTTTTTTTGTGTTTTACCTTAATTTACTCCATTTCTGGTAAATGRTAAATGGTACTGAACTTATAGAGCGCTTTTCAAGTCCCTCTGGACCCCAAAGCGCTTTACACTAACAGACATTCACCCATTCACACTCACATTCACACACTGATGATAGCAAACTACATTGTAGCCACAGCTGCCCTGGGGCACACTGACAGAGGTGGGGCTGCCATGCACCGGCGCCACCGGACCCTCTGACCACCATCAGTAGGCAAGGTGGGTGAAGTGTCTTGCCCAAGGACACAACGACTGAGACGGCTGGACGGGGGATCGAACCAGCGACCTTCCATTTAGGCACCTTAGGACAATAAAGGCATTTGACTTATAAATAAAAGTTACTTACTTGCTTATCAAATTCTAGCTCAACATATGTAAAATTGACCATTACAGCCATTTATGCGTTGGYTAATACCAGTTATATTTGGAGGCCATCTTGAATTGAATTGAATCTAAAAGTCAATCATTTGTAGATGTTCATCCAATTAACAGTATGATTAAAATCCAACCAATAGTTCATGAGATAGCAATGTTAAAGTTTTAATCAAAGAGAAGCACTTGAAGTATGTGTTGTGAAAAACATTTAGCTACAACCACACCAAACTGACAGAACTGCATGAGATATTGCTGTTTTTGTCTTTTAAAGTCCGTTTGATGTGGCAGCCATCTTCAGTCAGGTTGAATCAGCTGCAGATGTAAGGACACATAAAAGGCACACGAAACACAAACAGAAAACAGTCAGCAATGATCCCCCTCACCTATGGGCATGCTGTGGAGCAACACTTGCTCCAGGTTGCGTCCATCGTTGTAGAGAGCGAGGTGCCAGGTGCCGGGGTCCATGTACTCGATGAAGCCCGTTTCTTGCAGGCCGCTCAGCAGCAGGCCTTTAGGAGCTTTGGCGGCCGAGACGGGGTCAGTCAAGGATCTGGGCAGGGCCTTCCCATCCAGCAGTTTCACAAAGTCGAACTAAACACAATACGGGAACAGACTTATTACCCAGCTGGCATGAGCAAGATAGAAATTCAAAAAAACAGCATTAATTCAGCAGATATTTGCAAGTCATGCTCTGTGCGGTGATGTGTGTCTGCTTCGGGGTGAGTTGTATGAAAATGAGCAGAATGGAAGTAGTCAGGGAGYACTATTCCTGTAGAAGTGCATGAGATATGCAAAATGAGAATCCACATAAAATGAAGAAAATAGTGTAGATGATCCACTGCATGTCAGTGCTCAAAGAAACTTCTTTGAGTTTCTTAAAATTAGAATCTATTTGACATCACATAAAAAATACCTATTTTAGAGTGTCCATTTTTGCAGGTAAGATTTACAAAAATAAAGCAGCAGAAAACAATAATAATAATAATAATAATAATAAACTTTATTTATATAGCACCTTCCAACAATGCCTTGCATCGACTAAAGTGCTTCACAAGGTAAAACAAATACAATCAAGCCATAAAAATCTGTACTAGTTAAAAATACAAATTACAATAAAAGAAATTAAAAAAGATATTTAAGATGCTAAAAATTAAACACCGAATGCC